GACACATGTACAGGTAATTAACACTCTCTACTGGATAATGTCAAGCAAGATATTTATCACCTATCTTGTAACGTGTTTCTCAAGTTACCTTTGCTTTTGTTACCCTAAACAGCTATTTGTTTCTTTCTTTCCGGCAATGATGTTTTTTTTCTTTCTGTTTTAGGTTTTATTCGGTGCAATGGCAGACATGGGCAGCATGTTTTATACAAGCAGCATGGAAGAGACATTGTAGAAGGAAGCTGTCAAAGGCTTTACGTGAAGAAGAAGGCAAACTACAGAACACTCTTCAGAACGACGATTCAGGAGGCAACAAACTTAACTTGGGTGCTGCGATTTATGCGTCGAGGTTCGCTTCTCATGCTCTGAGGAATCTAAGGGCGAATACAGCAGCACACAACTCTAGGTTTCCTCACATGTTATCTTTGTTGCCTCAGAAACCAGCCGATCCTGAGTTTCCTATGGATGAAACCTAATTCTGTTCACAGATATAGAATAAGGAATCTGTAGAGTTGAAGCCAAGATCTTTCGCTAGTGATTTCAAATAATTATGGAACCCTGTAAAATTCTTTAATGAAAGTCAGAGACTAGGAATTTTCTTCTATAGAGGTTAGCTTATGCTCTCACACCTCAACCACTGTAAATGTAAATGTTTTCTTATAACAGAAACGGTACAAAAATCTTTATATATAATAGGAGAGTTTGCTCTCTCCATATAGGCTATCACATAAGCAAAAAAATTCATTAAATTGTTTTTAAGATATATTTAATACATGACTATTCATATTTCTTTACCTATATTTATATTTTTAAATATAAATAAAACTAAGAAAAATACACAACTAAATTACTTAATTAATATAAAGTATGTGATGTTAAAAGTTATCAAAAAGTTTGGATATAAGTAAAAATATATTTATCTTGAAATGGTATATATTTACCTTTTTATTAAAAGGATTTATCCTACTTCAAAATGTTATAATGTGTTCACAAGTTAAAAAGTTGAATATAAATTAATTAAGATAATAAAAAACCAATGAGAAATTAGAGTTAGAGTTTGCTTTTTTAAACAAATAGAAGTCAAGTTTTTATATGTAAATTTAATTGCAGTGAAAAACATGAAAATTTTAAGGATTGTGATATGTTTGTTTCCAAATATATTCAATTACAAAACTAACATAATAGAAAATAATCAATGGTCATGAGGCTCATATGCTACCACAACAAAGTAGATATGTATAAAAGTATATATTATTTTTTCATCCTATTTCGGTGCAAATGCGATTTTACAATATACTTACAAATTTTAACGCTGAGTCAAATTATACATATGCATGTTTATAGTCTAACAAAAGTAAACAAACATAATATTTATAATATGCTAAAATGTTAAATAGAAAATTCGAGATAAAGGGGTGTTAACATCCTAATAAAATAAAATAAAAGGACGTGCGATGTGAGATAAAACATAAACAAAACTAAATAGAAAACCATTGCAAACAACCCCGCGCTTCAAACCTAGTTCTTCTAAGCTTTTGCAAAGCGTTTAAACGTAGCATTGTTGGGTAACTTCCAGTACAAGAAAACTATCCAAAGCAACCATAATTAACGACCTTAAACTTGGCTTTTAAGCAGCCTGTTACTATTTAGAGATGAGGTTTTAGATTGGCATATAACCGGCCCATAAAAGAATAAAGATGGGCTTATAAAAGTGGCACAGAACTGGGTCAATTGCGTATCAAACCGGAATTGACTCGGTTGAAATTGGTGTCACTTTTTTTTTTTTTTTTTTTTTTTTTTAATTTTTGGTGTCACTTTCGAAGAGTCACTCAAACAAATCTGGATCCCACCGTGCGTTGACTCTGTGGTTATTTTGGAAGAAATGTTGAAAATTCTGCATCCTCCTCTGCAGCAGTTGCTTCGAAGAAGAAAAATCTTTGAACGATCACCGATTTTCTCTCTCTGTGATCGAAGTTTATCAAAAGTTTTGACTAGCTTTTGTGCGAGAAGACTTGTTGTTGTAGCTATATCTTGTTTGATGATTGGAAAATAGACAGAGCTTCTTCAACGATGCAATCTTTAAAGAGAAGTTTCAAGAGTGTTACAGGAAGCTTAAAGAGGTTGAAAACCATCGAAAACTGGAGGAAGACGATTCTTTTAGTCTGTGTCGTTGCTTTAGGTATCGACCCTTTGTTTCTCTTCATCCCTGAGATTGATTCTCCAAGATTCTGCTTCTCTTTCGACAAGAAGCTTGCAGCAGCAGTTTCTGTCCTGCGTACCGTCATCGACACGTTCTATCTGATTCACATCATTTTTTATTGCATCACCGAGCTCATTGCTCCTCGCTCTCAAGTATCTCATAGAGGCGAGCTAATCCTCCATTCTAAGCCTACAAGGAGAAAACAACTCTTCTTCTTCTTCCACTTGGCTATTGACATTCTTTCTCTTCTCCCCATTCCTCAGGTGTGTTCTTCTTTCACATTCATCTACTAATTATTGCTTCATGTCAAAAAAACTTTTGATCTTGATCTTGAGCTTGTAGGTTGTGGTTCTGACTCTGATTAAACGGTCAGACTCGCTGGTGTCAAAGGGGATAATGAAATGGATTATACTTAGTCAATACATACCAAGAATCGTTAGAATCTATCCACTTGTCAAGGAAGTGACTAGAGCCTCTGGCACGGTATCGGAAACAAAGTGGATCGGAGCTGGTTTCAACCTATTCCTCTACATGCTCCACAGCTATGTGTTTGGAGCGTTCTGGTACGTGAGTGCAGTGGAGAAGAGAAACAAATGCTGGCGTGAAGCGTGTGCTAAGATACCAGGATGCGATCTCAGGAACCAGTACTGTGGTGCAGAAGGTGGAGGAAGCAACGGTGTCTATCTCAACACTTCTTGCCCATTGATCGACCCTGAACAGATCACAAACTCAACGGTATTCAACTTTGGCATGTACATTGATGCAATGAATTCAGGTATCGTTGAGGTAAAGCCTAGAGATTTCCCAAGGAAGTTCTTCTACTGCTTTTGGTGGGGTCTCCGTAATATTAGGTTTGTTCTTTCTAACATTTCAACTCTCTTCTTCTGTCTTGTCTGAAGATCTAATTAATTAACACTCTCACAGTGCTTTGGGACAAAGCCTCAAGACAAGTAACTCTGTAGGGGATATCGTTTTTGCTCTCATCATATGCGTCTCTGGTTTACTCTTGTTTGCTGTTCTCATTGGAAACGTTCAGGTAATGAATGAGTTCATACCAACCAACCCATGCATCTAAGTTTAAAGAATGATCTCCTAAAGTTTGGTGTGTATAAGTACAGAAGTATTTGCAATCAAGTACTATAAGAGTGGATGAAATGGAAGAGAAGAAGAGAGACACAGAGAAATGGATGTCTAATCGGATGCTACCAGAGTATCTCAAGGAAAGCATTAGAAGACATGAGCATTACAAATGGCGAAAAACTAGAGGCATTGAAGAGGAAGCTCTTCTTCTCAGCCTTCCTAAAGACCTCAGGCTCCAAACCAAAAACCATCTTTACATGTCTCTCTTAAACAATGTAAGATCCACTTTTATCTCTTTTTTTGGTTGATTCTTGTATCTCTGATATTGCTTTTTGACATGGTCAGGTTCCTTGGCTCAACATGATGAATGATAGTTGGCTGCTAGAGGCACTCTGCGACCGCGTGAAGTCTGTGTTCTATTCAGCGAATGACTACATAGTGAGAGAAGGTGATCCTGTTGGGGAGATGCTGATTGTAACGAGAGGCAGTCTCAAAAGTATGAGCATATGTAGTGAAACAAGTGGCCACTACTACGATAACTCTTACCTCAAAGAAGGTGACGTATGTGGAGATCTTCTCTTTTGGGTTCTTGATCCACATCGTTCTTCGTCCCTTCCCATCTCAAACAGAACAGTCTTGACTTTAACCGATGTTGAAGGATTTGTTCTCTTGCCTGATGATCTCAAGTTTGTAGCTTCTCATTTAAACCGCTTTCATAGCATGAGGCTCGTACACATGTTCAGGTTCTATTCAGTGCGTTGGAGATCATGGGCGGCATGTTTCATACAAGCAGCATGGAGAGGACATTTCAGAAGGAATCAGCTTTCTAAGATCTTGATGGCTAAAAGAGAACATCAGAGAACTCCACAACTCAAGCTTGGAGCAGCTGTCAATGTGTCGAGGTTTGTGTCCAAAGCATTGAGAAATCGACGGGGAAGCACGTCAGATTGTTCTAGCTCAACACGTATGTTACCTCACAAACCAGCTGATCCTGACTTTTCAAAGGAGGAGTCACATAGTGTTTGATTGATTGAAAAGGAAATGGCATAGAGAATGAGTGAAGACTTAGCGCTCTTCTTTATTAGCCACTACAAATGTACAGTTATTTGTTAAATGATTGGGCATGAGTGAGCTCACATAATCACAGGGAGTCCCGTGGCTTGTAATTTCTTGAGCCACGAGTTGAATCCATCACTAAAACTGTTGTTTCAAGATCAATCAACCGAAAGAAACTCGAGCAAACCAGTGTTTCCAAGCGGTGACTTGCAATGCAAGAAAACCGAGACTTCATGCTTATTAGTGGGGATTCAAACAACTATGGTTCTGCCAAATGTTGAGATCATACGATGAGTTAATGGATGAAGGAGAAAATGTTTAGTCCTAAAGACAAGTGTGTTTACAGACGATGAAGGAGATATGATGCTTGTGGGAGACGATCCATGGAAGTTAAGTGGTTTGGTTTTGACAAGTGAAAAACAAGCTTCATGGCTATATTCCTCCGATACCATACAAACATCAACCGAAGATCATGTCACGTGACCAGTCTGTTAGAGAGCACAGTTTCTTATTTCTACTTGTGACAGTGACTGTAAGAAATTACCAGGCGACTAGGAAAGTTATAAGCTATTATTACTCTGCTACGACAAACAAAAAAATTAACAAACATTCATTTCACATTGACGCAGCATGGTGAGGGAAGGAGAAGATGGGTCACGAGAGGGTTTAAGAGTGATTAGACAAAAGACAAAACAAAGACAAAAGAGGCAGAAAGAAAAACAAAGAAAATCCAAAACACAACTAGAAAAACAATAAAAAGACAAGTGGGATCATCACTCCGGTGGTTCCAAAACAGCGACTCCACCAACAGCATTGATCTTGGCAATGATTTCGTTGGCTTCTTCCTTTGTGATACCTTCTTTAATCACGCAGGGGACGCTTCGCAGAGCTATAATCGATGGTCCCAGACCTATCTCGAACATATCCTTCATCACCTTTACAGTAGCTTTGGCCCATGCAACTTCTCTAAGCAACCTGCCCTTTTTCCTAGGATCCGGATCATACTCGACCAGCTTCACAGCAAACTTTCCGTCGGCTGGAGGCTCGGGAGGTTTCGGAAGCCCCAACAGTTCACTGATTATATGACCAAATCTCACCTTTTCTTCTGGGGAGAACAATTTCAAACGCTCAATCGCCTCCCTGACTACGAGACGAGGCAGGGGCCAACCAAACGGATCTTGAGGAAAAGGACGTCCTGGCAGGGCACTACCAAACGGATCTAGAGGCCAATCACGTCTAGGTTTGGGTTCCCTATGGCTATTAGGATAGGGAGGGCCAGGTCTGAAACTGGCAAGCGATGTAATAACACGACGCCCTTGCACAAACCTAGTCGTGATGACTATTACAAAAAAAAAAAAACCATTTACAATGTTTTAGAATAACAAAGAACCAATTTAATTTCAACCGTATGTATCAACAGGTTTAACAACGAATAATTAGACATTTTAATTTCAGAAGCAAGCAGAGTTGATCATGAACCACAGAATTTAATCTTATTTGATTTACCAAGTCTAGCGTACGTACGAGTGATTCATGCTTTACAATCTACAATATTACCTAATAGAAAGAAAAAAACCCTAAGTTGTCACAGCCCCAAAATCAACCAATAAATGAATCACAGATACATGTGGAGAAGAGAGATCTAAAAACCGGAGAATAATATGACTAACCTCCGGCGTTACGAAAGGCTAGCATCACCTTCGAATGAAGTGAAGAGATAAGAGAGGAGGCACGAGAGGGATCTAGGGTTAATTGGCCAAGGATGACGACGATACGTGTATTTAACTATTTATACGAGCCGAATTAAAGCAATTGCCTTGGGCCCCCAAAGGTTTTTTAAATATCATCTCCTTATAAGAGTAATCAAACTTCTCTATTCAGTGCATTGGAGATCATGGGCGGCATGTTTTGTTTCATACAAGCAGCATGGAGAGGACATTGCAGAAGGAAGCTTTCTAAGATCTTGATGGCTAAGAGTGAACATCAGAGAGCTCCACAACTCAAGCTTGGAGCAACTCTCCATGTGTCGAGGTTTGTGTCTAAAGCATTGCGAAATTGTTCTACTCAACACGTATGAGTCGTATGTTACCTCACAAACCAGCTGATCCCGAGTTTTCAAAGGAGGAACCACAGTGTTTGATTGATTGAAAGGAAATGGCATAGAGAATGAGTGAAGACTACAAATCTATAGTTATTTGTTAAATGATTGGGCATGAGTGAGCTCACACACTTTACTTAGTTATGTATTGCTATAGGCAAATACATGGGAAATTAAATAGATTGCTGTTTTTTTTAAAGTCAAGTCTACTCTAAGACAGAGTTGTACATGAAACAGAGTAATCAAGACAAAGGCAGAGAAAAGAGGCCAAAGAAAGCAAAAGAAGATTCAGTTCTTGTCTTTCTTCTTCAACACGTCAGTCAATTCTCTCAAAAGACTCATCACTCTTGCCATGATCCTTTCCTGCTCTGAGGCCGTCACTGGCCACCCCAGTCCCCTTCTCAGCTTTATTATCTGCCTCGGTCTCATCACTAAAAACAGTAAAGTGTTATAGATGGAAAGAGAGAGGGAGAGAGAGAATAGAGTTTGTATATTGTGAAAGATCCCAAAGAGTTTATATAGAGAAAGACTTACTTAGGAATAGTGCATAGATATATATCCTAGATGGGATCATGTAAATGTACACTGCCTGCAATGAAACATATATAAAACTGAGACAAGCCACAAGATTTCAGACAAGGGTTAAGATCAAAAAGCTCAAAGAGCATCATAGCTTTACCGGTTCAAATTGATACACAGCTTGGAAGGCGATGCAGAGGATGAGAACCAAAGGGAGTTTCTTCATTCTTGATAAAACATTTGTCCTGTTTGTGGGCGGGATCTATCATCAAAGACGAATTCTCAATGTTAGTTTGGATTATGTATCATCAAACCATCAACACATCATATTTGTCTGTTTTTTTTTTGTTTCTTTTCCTTGTAAACATCATATTTAACCTCTCACACCTGTGATGTCAACCAGAAAGTTAAGCTTGTCACCAGAAGCAAGACGTAGAGGCTGTCTGGAATTGAAAGATGAGGGATTTTCTTGGCCATGGCACTGATCTGTGTTGAAAATAGACAGTGAGTCAGTAGGAAAGAGTGAAAACGCCATCCCCAAAAAAAGAAGAAGAAGTTCTCAAAAATCTTTTTACCCCATTGCAGAAGCTGATGGTGATGAATGTATGAAGAAAGACTAGTGGCAGGAAAGACAAGCAACGTTCTGCGAACCTGATGTGATAAGAGAGATGGATTTAAGTTAAAAGCAAGTCAAAGAGAGAGACGTTGATTGTTTGTAACATTGTGTAAAGAAACTCACTTTTCCATCCAATCTGCTTCCCATTTTTTGTATTTAGGCAGAGCTTTAGGATCACAAGTTTGTATCACTCTCATCACCTCCTTAATGCTTTTTCCATAAATCTAGATTACAATAGCAAGAATCATGTAAAGGCTCATAAATCAAAAGTTGCAAAAGAAATCAATTAGAAAGCAAAAGATAACTGACTTGTAGCTCCCAAGCTTGTCTCTGAATCAGCAGAGTGAGTGGTGACATGAGTCCATTAACCAGAAAAGCAGTTACAACAATTGACATCCACCTATTCAAGAGTGAAACCAAACCATTCATCACTGTACTACTAAAACCTTAATAAATTAATCATCAAGAACATAATGTAATGTATCGATACCAGTTGAAGCCGGTAAGCTCATGGATTCCATTAATCACATAGTACACGTAGCCCTCAGGGGAAGAGAAGTTTTCAATTGCTGTAGTAGTACACTCATCGATAACAGAGACTTTAGTGGCCATTGCTTCTACAGATTTCTCAGGGACAAGTTCCTCAGCAACATTTCCAAAAGCATCAATCTTTCTGAACGATTCTTCAGCTTTAGAAGAAGAAGGAGAAGAAGAGGACATGCGTCTACATAGGAATACTCCATAACCCATTGGTTGAGGAGCAAAAGACGTTTTCTTTCTATCTTCTGAGAAAACTTGCTTATGCTGATGAAATCTACGAATCAGAAAACCTGCTGGTAAACTGGATTTAGTATGATCTTTGATATGATGATGAAGAACAGTGACTGAGCTTGAGTTTTTGCTGCAAACCATTTTGGGGAAAGATTTCTCCTTGTGAAGTTACGAAGACAAGCCATTTTTTTTTTACAGGCAAACCTAAAACTCACTTCAAGAGAGAGAGAGAGAGAGAGAGAGAGAGAGAGAGAGAGAGAGAGAGAGAGAAATCTACAAGTTGGCGATGGTGGTGATTCTTACACGAAGAGTAAAAAGCAAAGTTTCCCTCTTGAAAAAGAGAGATAATATTATCAGAGAATTTACCTAAATTAACCATATGTTTCCCCAAAAGGAGACAAAGAGAGACAGAATTGAAGTAGAAAAAGCAAATGAGGTTCATCAGAAGAAGCAAAATGACAACACACAAATTCGTTTACTCTACGAACTCTGCTTTCCGGCACTTCAGTAAAGTACTTGCCATTTTTAGGTAGCTATATATGCGTTTAATTCACCCAATATTGGGCCCACAAAATGATGAAGAATCCTTTTACTTTGAGACTGATGAAACGCTGCGTTTTCGGACTCCGACGGCCCCTCACGTAGAGAGAAACGCCATGTCTTTGATCTTCTCTCTCCCCTTCCGACCTCGAGTCGACTCGGGAAGAAACTACGAAATATTTTGAAAACAAAACTCAATAATAGAAAGCTAAATTATATTGACTTGAAAGTCAAAGGCAGTGACCAATGACAGATCTCCAAACTGACACGTACGTAGACCGTCGAAATTTTAGCCGAATTGATTACTTTACCCCTCATCTTACACACAACTATAAAAACTAACCTGAATTCCTTAATTGGTCCAGATACTCGTTAAATCGTGGATTAAAGTAATTGCTAATTTGGTATAACCAAGTTCTCTTACCAAAATTTGTGTTCTTTTGCGTGTTATGAATAAAAGAGAAATTTTGGAACTTATTCAAATATTTTGGAACTCATTTAAAACTCCTTCCTTTAATATTTTTCTTTACAACTTATTCAATTTTTTTTTTTTTTTTTTTGAGAAAGGCTTTACAACTTATTCAATTTTCACCCCAAAAATAAGTAAAAAACTAAGTGTAAAACTACATTAAATCATGAAAACAAAACGAATTTGGCCCCACTTACGATACTAAGACCGGATTCCAACTTCGATATGGTTTCACGATTATGCAATTCAACACTTAATTTTTTTAAAACAATTTAAAATATTTTTTTATTTTTTTATTTAATAGATAAATTAGGAGTAAACTACAAAATATTTTGTTAAGACAAAAACTAAGTGTTAAATTACATTTAAATCATGAAAACAAAACGAATTTGGCCCTACTTACGATACTAAGACCGGATTCCAACTCCGATATGGTTTCACAATTATACAATTCAGCAATTCAAAACTAAGACTGGATTCCAACTCCGATATGGTTTCACGATTATGCAATTCAACATTTAATTTTCTTGAAAAATAATTTAAATTATTTTCTTAATTATTTTAATTTAATAGAAATTATGAAAAAAAACTTCAAAATATTTTGTTAAGACAAAAACTAATTGTTAAACTACATTACATCATGAAAACAAAACGAATTTGGCCCCACTTACGATACTAAGACCGGATTCCAACTCCGAGATGATTTCACAATTATGCAATTCAACATTTAATTTTTCCAACAACAATTTAAAGTCTTTTTCAAATATTTTTAAGATATATTTTTGAAAGATTAGAAATGACCACTAAAATATAATAAACTATTGAATAAACCCCAAAGTTAAGTGTTAAATCACATTACGGTTATGCAATTCCACATTAGTTTTCTTTAATCAAAACGATATTTAAGCCACAATCTAAGATTATCGAAAACATTTGATCAGATTTTTTTTTGCATTGTGGGGAAGATATGAGAAAATAACTTATCTGAATCGGTTATTGGTCCACGTTTTTGTATCGTCAACATGAAGTCATGAACCGCCAAATTCCGCATATGGTTACTACAAAAATAGAAATAAGTCTTACGGCTCAATTCTCTTAAAATATTTTATTTCCCATAAACGAATTCTAACATATAAATCTCACTTGGAAATTTCACAAACCTGTTGATTTTGTTTGTCTCTATCGTTTCTCTGGATGGATTTTGATTACGTGATTGAATGACAACAACACCTACTGACCTACATAAAAAACAGAAAGATGTGTGAAAAATCTTAAACTAATTATTAATAGATGACAATGGCATTTCATATTTGCATATTGTGATATACTCTAAAGTCTAAATTATTAAACACTTAACAAAACTGAAACGTCTCTATCATTCTCTGGTTTGAGAATATTCTCTAAAAAATTATTGAATGGTAGGATATATTGTCAGCATATCTTCTACATATTGAATTAATAAAAGACTAACATAACATGCATGCATTAATGATCAAGAAGAGGAAACTCGTTGATAATAAGTATCTCGATTTACGTTTAAGTAGTACTTGATCACGAGAAGTAGCAACATCTACAATTTAACGATTTTGCATTCAATTAAAATGGATTTAGGCGATTTCTTAACTGCAGAAAATGGCTAATACTTATCTCCAACACATTTAGAAAGTCAATCGGAATCAGAAAGTGAATAATCATAAATTACCATGGCAATAGACGGAGAGGATGATATAGATCAATGTCGTCTAACAGAGAAACACCAAGAAGGAGAATGAGACCAGAAGAGAGACAGGACGATGAACAGAGTCAGCGACAGAAGTGTGAGGTTTCTTGTCGGAACGATGAGCAGAGGCAGCGACAGAAATGTGAGAAGAAACAATGATGAAGAACAGAGGTTTTACGATGGAAATAAACGACGAAAATGAAACTTTTCTGAACGGAACAAAGAGAGAGAGTGATGTGAATACTGAGAAAGAGACTAAATGAATGAAAACCAAAAAAAAAGAGACTAAATGAAGCCAGTACCAACGGTCATCATATTAAAACGTTCAAATTTTGATTATCTCACTGTTGTTCTTGATTATCGTGAGACTAAAATGAAGCCGTTAACAATCAATCACACATTGTTGGGCTTTATTCGGCCTTCAAAGCCCAAAAAGTTGGTTTACTTTGCCTTAAAGGCCCTCGAAAACCTCCAGGTGGAATTAACAGCTGTTTCTCATAGTTTTTTTTGGTAATTTATTTATTTCTCATAGTTTTTTTGTTTGTTTGTTAGCTGGACGAATGGTTTCCATCTCCAAGCTATTTCATTTTTGCAGGTTTAAATACATTTAGGTGTGATAATCTCTCAGGTAGTTTAATTCTACTTAGTTTTATAAAAAGAAATTGTAATCAATTTGTATTTCTCATGAGACTAATGATTGTTTCTTTTCAAAGTGTTCTTGTTCTTGTTGTCTTGATCATCATTGGTTTGTCCTAGCTTTGTACAATCACTATTTTTCTCATTAACACTATTTTTTATGTTATTTATTGTTTTTCTTAACAAAGATTGTTTCTAGTTTATATGACAGGTGGTGATGGCATGTTTGTCACATAACCGGTGACCCGTCTTCTTAGGAAACAAAGTAATTGGTGTTACCTTCCGGAAATGAGAAGTTGGAAATGACATCATTTTCCAAGTGGATGGTAACGTTGTTGAAGATGATGGCAAAAGTAAGTATATACATTTATCTATAAATGTTTTTGAATTGAATTATTTGAATGTTTAGATCGTTTCTCATTTAATTTATGTTGACAGATTTATTTGATAAGAGGATATGTCTCCACCTCATGGTTACATATCTATGAAGAATGCATGTCAAGTAGTCTCCCTCACAATCTTGAGAGATCGAGAGCCCTGGAAAACCTCCAAGTGGAACTAATAGCTGTGACATGTGAGTTTCTCATAGTTTTTTTTTTTGGTAATTTATTTCTTTCTGCAATAGTTATTCATTGTGTTTTTTATTTTCGTTTGTTTGTTAGCTGGATGAATGGTTTCAGTCTCCAACATATTTCATTTTTGCAGGTTTAGTCTTCACAAAATACATTTACGAGGGTGTGATAATCTCTCAGGTAGTTTAATTCTAGTTAGTTTTATGAAAAAAAAAATTGTAATCAATTTGTATTTCTCATGAGACTAATGATTGTTTCTTTAAGGTATTGGAGGACGACATAAATGTTGGATATACTTCTCTACCAATACGAAGGTATGTTAGATAAATTTTTTCATATTTGAAAAAATTTAAAGAATGAAAAACGATTAACATATTTGTTCTTTTTAAAACTAGGTTGTTGGTGAGATAAAATGAAGCCGTTAACAATCAACCAAATTATTGGGCCTTAAAAACCCATTAATTTGGTATGCTTTGCCTGAAAGGCCCACGAAATGGTGAAGCCGCTTTTTGGTTTGAGACTGATGAAACGCTGCGTTTTGGACTCCGATGGCCGTCAGGTAGAGAGAAACGCAAGTCTTTGATCTCTCTCTCTCACTCTCAGGTCTTGCCCTTCCGACTTCGAGTCGACTCAGTCAGGTAAATTCTCCAGTTTCCTATGTTTTCTCGAGAAAATGCTGTGAATCTCTGAATTGCAAGTGTAGAAATGGACCATCTCTAGGAATTTTGAGCTGAAACTGATAATTTCTCGTGTTGATTGAAGTGCTTCTGCTGAAAGTGATAATCTTTGCTTAGCAGGAGCTTTGTTATGGCGGCGTGCTTGCGTGGTATCTCGAAGAGAGTTAATCTCTTACAGAGACGAGTATACCCATCGTGTGGTCATCTAATCGGCCATGATAAAGATGAAACTCAATCATCTTCTCCGATTTCTGATACAATGATTCGTAAAGTGACTAACAGCAACAAGCTTAGCTCAATGATGTTATTGGAGAGGCGATATCAAAATCAGTCATTCGCTGGGTCGTTGGGTCTTGGATTGTCTTCGTGTCGCTATATGAGCTCTACACCACAGCCACCGGAATGGTCTGAGAAAGTTGACGGAATCGACTTTGTTGCGAGCGAGGTTGTAGCTCCACATGATTTTCAAGCCATGGAAGCTGTGACGACGACGTTTCAAGCTGTTCCTGCTGTAAACGAGGTTGCTCTTGCAGCTGCGGACTCTGCTTTCCCTGTCGCTGCTTTGCAGCATTTGATTGATGCTGTTCATTCCTTCTCTGGCCTTAACTGGTAGGCACACTGTGTTTCTTCAAGATTTCATTTTGTTTTGTTTTGCTTTGTATGTTATCTTTGATAAATTCTTTTCATATTTCAGGTGGGCTTCGGTAGCTTTGACCACTGTGCTCATTCGTGGAGTTACAGTTCCTATTCTTTTGAATCAACTCAAGGCTACTTACAAACTCAATGTCAGTTTTTGATTTTCTGTTCTTTCTCCGGGTGGATTTTGTCACATGTTAGGATATGCCTCTTTTTCCACTTGTGGTTTATGTAAATCATCTTCTCGCAGGTTCTGAGACCACAACTTGAGGAGTTGAGACAAGAGATGAGCACCAAGGTACACGTAGCTCCTTCTTCTTGTCTTACCTATTGCCTTCTGGTTTCATACACTTTGGATAATCTGTTGTGTTATGACATTTTGCGTGTGTTGTTATCTTTGTTTAGTCTTCGGATCCTGAAGCCATGGGAGAAGGCCAAAGGCGGATGCAGTTATTGTTTAAAGAGTAAGTCCAAATTTTACTGTTTCTTCATGTTAAAACGTACTACTACCTGCTTGTTTGCTGATATGCTTCTATTGTTTTTGTGGATTGGCTTAGACATGGAGTAACTCCTTTTACTCCTCTCAAAGGACTTATCATTCAAGGTCCCATCTTCATCAGCTTTTTCTTTGCGGTAAAATATTTGATCTCTTACAGTTGACTCTGATAATTATCATTCTCTATGTGTTCACTGATGCTTGTCTACAGATCAGGAATATGGCCGAGAAAGTCCCATCATTTAAAACCGGTGGAACTCTTTGGTTCACCGATCTCACCACTGCCGATACTACATACATTTTGCCACTCCTCACTGCAGTGACTTTCTTGATTATGGTGGAGGTAAGAGCTGTGTCTATGTTAGTATTATGACTCTTCATAACACATCAAAAGTCCCATGATATAGATTTAACGCAAGTCTTGTATTTTTTTTATCTGTAGTCCAACATGCAGGAAGGTCTAGAAGGAAATCCAGTAGCGGGAACGATGAAGAAGTTCTCAAGAATCATTGCCTTTCTCTCTATTCCAATTTTAATAGGCATTGAAAATGTAAGGATTACTATTAATATTCGTCTGTTGACTCTTTGATATTGATAAGTAATTAAGCATTGAGATGGTAAAAAGATTACATTCCATGACTTTTTTGTTGTTGTTGTTGTTGCAGGCATTGTTCTGTTACTGGCTCACTTCCAACCTGTTTACTCTTGGCTATGGATTAGGCAAGTCTCTTGGACATTGCTCTCTCTCTCTCTCTTTGTACGTGATATTTGCAAACCCGAATATGACATTCTTTTTGCTTGTGTGTGTGTAAATATGCAGCGATAAGACGTCCTGATGTGAGGAAGCTCTTGAATCTCCCAGATGTTATCATCTCTTCTACTACCAAGTCATCGACTTCACCATCGTCGCCTTTGCCATTTTCCTTTCCGCAGCCAAAAGACCAAAACGTTGTTCAAGAAGATCCTCCTATGTCCACTTCCGAGTCATCTGCGAGTGTTCCAGATAGAAGAATCTCACGGAGTTCTGTTCTGAGTCAGAGAATCAGAACTCTGGAGAGACAACTCAAGGACCGAAAGAACAAGAAGTGAGAGAGATTTTTTTATTATTACTAGAGAACTTTTTTTGCAACAACTGTCACAATACACTTATCTTTTCACGTGTTTAGCTTGTTTGAAAAGGTAGATACAAGCTAAATTCTATATTTGTTGCATTTTCAAAAAACAATCTTGGAGTTTTAAGGATCCGGTTCTAATGTCAATCCAAAGGTATGGCTGAATAAACAAATCTTCAGTGGTTTTATTCTTAAACTCGTAGAATATGTATGACCAATTAATAGTAGCTACTTTGTTACAGAAACTCAATCCAAGTATATAGATTGTCAATGATTACATATACATGTATGCCTTTCTATATACCTAACAAACAAGCTTGGCTTGTCTTCTTCACTCGAACATGCAACTAGAAATGTAAGGATGCTCAAAGTTGATGTACTTTGTCCAATACGGCTGATAGTAGCTTATCCCCAGCTCTGACCATGGCTTCATGTGTCCATTGAAATGTATAACAGCTGCTTTCTCAATCTTCTTTGCAGTGATTCCTTTGTCATAGCCCAATCTAAGCAAGTGCCATTTCTTCTCTAGCGGTTGAGTCAGATTGTAGAATGTTATGAGCCCAGGTGGCAACGTCCCAAGTTTCCACAGAGTCTGGTTTTCGTTCTGCAAAACAGCAAAGGAGATGAATGATGATGATGAATAGTATCAGAAAAAGGCAAGTAAGAAAGAAACTAACCAGGTCTTGCCAAAAGTGGTAAGTTTCTGTGATGTTGTTCTTGTTCCACTCTTTCAGGTCAAAGATGTTCATCCCATAAGCCCATCCGCAAGCTTTCGGATCAAAGTTGTCTGAAATGCGATGATCGCTGAAGTTCAAGTAAGTGTCAAAGCGATGGAAAGTGACACCACATGTCTCCACCGCACCATTCACTTTCCCTTTCAAATCTACTGACCACAAGGGAGCCAAGTCCTTCTGAACAACCACGTCGTCGTCAAGAAACAGTATCTTCTCTAGCTTTGGGAACATCCTCGGGAGGTAGAACCTCAAGTGGTTGAGCATTGAGATGTATTTAGGGTATCGGAACTTGAGGTTTTCAGAGCCTGATTCAGCTGACTCAGACCTCGCTGTCTTGAAGTAGAACTTCTTCATTGCTGCTGACTCCACCTGTCTCAAAACCGGAGCGTAAGATGAGTTGAGCCAAGAGAAATCTTCGAACCTTTGGACTTCAATGGTCGCTTCTCCAGGAGGGTTTAACAGAAACCACATTCTCATTGCTCCAATGTTGAGTTTATCAGTCACAAGGTGGAATACAAGCCGTGAAGAATCCTGCAACAACAAAAAATAGCAAGTTTAAAGCTTTTTTTGCTTACAAACTACCTTTGAGTCTCTTTAACAAAGATTGATCATCATTACCTGTGAATTCATGACTGTGGAATTGACGACAACTGATGCAGCGAGCACATTATCAGAGAAGAGAGCATGGTGGTAAAGCTTTGGATTCTCCAAGTTGTACTCTCTTGGGAATTTTCTCATTAGTGGAGGAAGCAGATAATACTCAAGAGTCAAGCGCATGGTCAAGCAATGGATAGAAGATGGCAGTGACTTGGAAACCAGCTGAGTCAAGAAAGTTGTATAAGTTTGCGTGTACTCGAGCTCTTCTTCAACTGTTTGTAGCATTGCTCTCAGCTTATTCGTCACCAACTTGCAGTCATATAGCTGCTCCTTGGCTTTAGCCAGAGTTTGGCCCATATCTGCGATAGCATCAAGAACTCTGCAAAAGGAAGAAACTATTCAGTGTTGTTCAATATGGTATTGCTCAAAACCATGACATTACCTCTGTTGTTGATCAATATCAGTGATCGGTTCTTCCTCCATGAAAGCAAGTTTCGCAAGCTGTGTCTCTAGCTCTTCGTGAAGATCAAGATTGTTGGTCAGCTTAGCAAGCGTGGTGTAAACTCGTGCCATGATGATCTGATCTTGCATCAGACGTAACATATCTTCAAAGGTCTTCCCCTGCTGATATTCATTTCTCCAAGTGGTGTAGTTCCCTAATGGTGCAGCGTCGACATTTCTGGAACGTTGTATGGCTTCCTTCTCAAACTTTTGGACAGTACCATCATCATTCATCAGCTCTTTGACACGTTTCACTATCCTTTCCTGTCTCAGGCTCTTCTTGAATAGAAACAACACAACATGAAAATCAGATAAAGAAACCGTTTGAGATTTATGTAAATGATGAAAGATGAAAAAAAGTTACCCTTTCATACAACTTCTCTGGTGTATCATTCAGTCCATCTCTTATCCAGTTTCCATGACCAAAATTAGGAACCACTTGATGATCCTTTTTCCCCTTCAAACAAGATACCACAAGCATCAGTAAACAATGGTTTCATAACTTCAAAATATTCAAAATCAAAACCCAATTCATATATACCTCAGAAGAAGAATAACTCTCAACTGGATTATCCATCCATGACGCAGAAAGATTTTTCTTCCTGAATGAGTCAAGGTTCAGAGGATCTTTATCGGATGTGGTGCCATTGAGAGAAGCAAGGACCTGTTTCAAACGATCCTTTTTTAACAAAATATTGATATACCAGAAGCAAACATTTCAAAAGCCAAAAACATTGGCACTTGCCTCTTTTGAGAAGACAGATCGAACAGATTTTATAGCTTCCATTTCTCTCCAGTTACGATCCTGTAAAATTGCATTCAACACATTACTTCTTGCCAATCTTTTAGTAACAATTAAACAAGTACAATGTGATGATAATGGTGACTTTAATGACTTTACCTTATTCAGAAAGTTATCCCCAACACTGTTTCTATCTGAAATAATTGCAGAAATCAGAATTACGGAAACGAAAATTAAAGCATCTTCGCGCCATTAACGCAAGAAAAGCTGTTTTACAAGATTCTCGTGGAATTACACACTTCAACATCTCCAGAACAAAAAAAAAAAACAATTTCCCCAGAAATCAATCGATTTCGCGATTCTGAAAGTAAGAAGAGGAGGAAAAACGAAGGATTGTGTGAATGCAATTACAAACTAATTGAGAAACTTGGGAGGAAAATGTAAAAGGAACAGAGATCGATGAGACTGAGATGAGAAAGATACGATCAAAGAGAGTCCAAAGAAAAAAATCAAACCAAAAGATGATGAACGGTTGTGAAGTTTGTAGCTGATAACGACGGCGGCATAAATGGAAGCGCCGAAAGACCCCAGCATAAACGGGATCACAAATCGGTGATAGAACACTCTCCAACAAGATCTCCAACAAGATCTTCTTCGCTGGGATTTCGATCTCGATTTCTTCCTCGCCATCTGAAATATCAAACCCTAATTGATTGTTAGTGACGATCGCTCTCTCTCGAAGAAGAAGAAGACGCTTTCTCTCTGTTGCTCTCTGATTCTGTTACGCCTTCAACAGAGTAACAAACTTTTCAAATCGGCCTGTTATATGAAGCGGGAACAATAACGTCGTCGTTTTCGAAGCGATTGGTACGGTGCCGTTTTGTGTGTTTCGTTTCGTTATTTACATGTGGACCCCTATATTAAATTTCTTACCTTTGCCCATCCATATTTGTTCGTTGAGAATTAACCCCTATAGTGGACCATTTTGTGAACTCTTTCCTTAATCTTCAACCGGGCCTCGAACATGGGCTTCTGTCAACTGTTAATTAGAGTGTATTAAACACAGTGCGTGTAAGAAATTGAACCAGTGAATTAATTTATAGAACGCAAGAAAAGGCCCGTCTAGCTCAGTTGGTAGAGCGCAAGGCTCTTAACCTTGTGGTCGTGGGTTCGAGCCCCACGGTGGGCGATTATTTTTTCAAATTCCTCCGGAATATAATAATTTCATCAGAAATCACGCCAGGCTGGCAAACTAACGCCGTCGTTTTTGATGGAAATTATTAAATTTAGCGTCTTCGTCTACTACCTAACGCGATCTGATTTAGGAAACTGAGACTCTAACGGCGCCGTTATCCTCACGCCTAACTGGCAAATTACGAAATGGCAGTTCTTTAGTCAATGCCAGGCTACCAAAATCACAGTAACGTCGTCGTTTTAAGTTTCAACGCGATGGCTCAAATTATGCAAGCCACGTGCTTTTCACCTTTTTTGGAGGGGACCACTAAACCTAAATAGTTTACACAAAATATCTGACATAAATAGTTTAAACTGGAGAGCCTCGTGGAAAATTCATTTCAGATTCATTGCTCCACCGGATCTAGAAATCGAGATCAGCCCGACGATGGCCGCCGCCGACGGAATATTCCGCTGCATCTTCGAAGGTTGTATCTCCGGTCTCGATTCCGCCATCGAGCGGCGTCCTTACCACAAAAACTGCGGATGCGCGCTTCACGACGGATCTCGCGGCGCTGGGAAAACTAAAAATCAGCGGCGGACGTCCTGCCGCCGCCACGGAAGCTCGGAGAGCATCTCTTTCCCGATCCGAAGGTCTTGGAGCGAAGGCAACATCATGGCTATGAACTTCCCTTCCTCCTCATCGTCATCCAATCTCCAATCGCTTTCTTCGTCTTCCAATCTCCAATCGCTTTCTTCGTCTTCTTCTCTCACGAACCTGACATCGCCGGCCGATTTACCGGTGGATGGAGCTGCGTCGGAGGATAGGAGCAGATCTCATAATCATCAGCTGGGATGGACGATTGACGAAGGTGAAGATCTTTATTGATGATCATCATCATTTCCACATTTAAAACGTTGTTAGTTGCTAATCTCGTGTTCAATTAGTCATGGGAATCAAACTTTGAAGGGATTTGTTTCGTGTGTAGTCATTTTATAGTTTTTTTTTGCAATATTGGCAGAAATTACATTTAATAAATTCGTGGTTATCATTTAAAAATGTGTGCAATAGTGATGTTTGCTTGTGTTCTTCAAGTCACGCAACAAATTATTTTATTCTGAAATATCCGATCTTGTGCAGAAAGCTACAGAGCATTTACACGTTTAAGAGAATCGATACTATTTGCTTGGAAATCAAATTCAA